CTATGTTAAGGCATTGTTTAAGAGCTACATAAAACTATATCATACATGTTATCCAACTGCTACAGTGACAGAGTGGAGGCAGTACTCAACTCTTAGGCCTTAGCTGTGAAGATAGACGGCCCTGCGCCTGCCACTGCTTTGCAAATTAGGCATCCTGTGCCTGACCGAATTGGCATGCCAGTCTCAAAATAGGGAATGCATGTCACCCACACAACTCGCTATGATGATGCTTGAAAGTTTCCATAACTAGCCCCTATATATATATAATTATATACACCCGCATTACTACAATCCTTGTTTTGGGGACCTCAAAAAAGTATCCCTAAGTTTGGGAAACCCCAATCCCTATAAGCGACTATATATACTCCCTGTTTGCAACTTATTTTCCATGTGATTCTCCAAGATTGGGCTAGTATCTTTACATACCTCCTTTGTATATACATATATATATATACGCATACAGCGAGGCTGCTTGTGTGACATCAGCGTTTACTTGAGGATGTGGCGCTCATCAAGGCCCTGTGGGACCACGAGGTTGAGAGGACGCCCTGCAACCTTCAGACATGGTTGTATGGGCATTGTATGGGCTATAGTCTAAACTCCTTGAAGGGTTTATATAGGGTTTAGGGTTTAGGGTGTAAACTCCTGAAAGGGGGTTATATAGTTTCTGAGGGATACTAGGAGTTTAGACTATAGCTCATATGGGCATGATATAGCGGTTACATAGGGACAATACCCCAGTCATGGACAAACAAATGGAAGATTCAATGGAAGATAAGATGGACACTAGGGTTTTGGATGTTCTTTGGGGTTTACATCACCCTCTCTCATTCTACCACTAGCGCCCTAAGCCCTAAACCCTAAACCCTAAACCACAACTTCAGGAAGGTAGGCTGCTTTAACACTCTACGGCGACATGAGCCATGTTTCGACTGATAACTTACCAGAGTCATTCCTCATCTTAAGCAGCCTCATGTTAATATAGGGTCCTAAATAATTACCAATATTATGGTTCCATATTCCTTATATAATCTGCAGATAATTCTGGTCTATGGTACCTCAAATGGACCTCAACATGATATTCGAAATTATTCAGGCCGTTGTAGTAGCTAAACACTTGTCAACCACCAGCCGTGGAGGATAAGACTGACGGAAGCCTACTTGGTGAAGAGGCCCGGCGATTCTGGGGAACCCGTTCGGGGCAGATGTTTTATTCCTATCGAGGTGGCCATCATTGGTGTCCTGGTGGTTGCACATGATTTGTTTGGTGAAAACGTTGCGCTTGTCATGGTTATTCTGCGACTTGCATGTGCCACTACCGTAGCATTTTCATCATTGCTACTGATAACTACTGTCCCGCTAGCTGCTTCTACTGGCAGCTGTACACGAGAAACATTTAATGTAGCTGCTAGTTTGGGTTCTGTTTCTTTTGCAATTGCGGCTGGCCACAGCTGCTACAGCTACAACTAGAACAGCAGCAACAGCAGTAACTAGTGATAACAATCAAACAACAAGAAGAACCACAACGGCAATCACAACCTACGCGCAGGCTACTGCCTGCAGTCATTAGCCGATTCTTCTGCATAGCAGTAGGATTAGGAGTACAGAAGTAGTAGTAGTAGTCGTCGCCTAACAGCACAACCACTGCTACAAGTACTCCTTGCGCTACTCCACCTCAGGTGGGGGACTGTGGATGCGCTTCAAATGGAGGATGATGTCAAGGCAAACTTCAAGAAGCTGAAGGACACCATGGGCCTAGAAACAGAGAAGTCGGCACTGGCGAGTAGAGTAAACATCCTAATTTTGGCGTCTATGTTGGAAGTATGGAGCTATGTTCATGATTATACTTGTTGATGGTCTGGGAGGGTAAAGGAATGGAGCGTTCAGACATCCTGCTGCGCAATTTGACGAGTACCTTAAACCCTACACCGTGAGGAGTACAAGGTGGACAAAAAGCTGGACGTTTACGTTGGCATGCAGGAGGCCAGCAGCGATTAACAGGGAAGGATGGCGTTGCATTGAGGTTGTATATAGGGAAGAATGGAAAAGAAAATGGAAATTACTAGAGTATGGGGCTATATAAGGATATGGTCAGGGGTTCAGGCTGTACTGTTCTCAAGTTTAGGACCCCGAAGCCATAGTACTCGCACGTTCCATTTGTTTATCTGGAGACATGGCCGCAAAAGAGAGAAGAAGAGAGCCCCAGCCTCCTCCACTAGGGGGGGGTAGCACAGTGAGAAGAAGAAGAGCTCCCCTGGATGGCAGTAGTGCCCTCCACAGCTGGCAGAGAAAGAAGAAGAGCTCCTTCTGGTCTGTGGAAGCAAAGAGAGCTCTTTGTCACCCATGTCGTTGTTGTTGATGATGTTGGTATCCATGTAAGTATTGCTGCCATGCTTCGAATCTTGACCGCCAGCGCCACCGCCACCGCCACCGCCACCGCCACCGCCGCCCCCACTGCGCTGCCGCTGCCGCCACCGCCGCTGCCAATGCCGCCCCAATCCCACTACCATGTGATTAAATGATACGCCTCAGCTTGTACTGCTTTACTATTTCAGGTCATCAAGCGATGGGTCATCTTTTGCCCCTTGGTCGGCGAACTCTCCGATCCCTCCATGAGGCAAGTGCCGGCAAAGCTGCAAGCACCTGACCGGGGTCGGGCAGGTTTAGAATCTAATGGTATCCAGATTTCGACCTTAGAACCTATCACTGACCAGGCCCCGCACGCTTAACCCTTAATTCTGTATCACCCTATAGGCCCCTAACCCCTAACTCTACATGGGAGTTTCTCTAGATAGAAGAACCCCAATATAGACCCTCTAATACTATAGTCCTTGTTAAAGGGACTCCCAGAAAGGTATCCATGATTTTGGGAAACTCCCTGAAACCCTTAACGCTAAATAGTAGCTTCCATTTTCTTTTCCAGTATCCCTATATATCCCCCATATTACCCTATTATACTATAGTAGTTCCCATGTTCTTTTTAGACTACCTTATAATCCTTATAATCCCTATAATCCCTAGTAGTTTCCATTTTCTTTCCATTATCCCCATATAGACTACAGTTTGGGAAACTCCCAAATCCATACTTCTCCTGCTGCAGGCCTAGACACTGGTCAGCTCTGGTAACACTCTGCGACAAGCAGCTGGAGGCCAAACATGTGAGGGATTTCTGCGTTAGTACAGGGTTGCGGGTTCAGGGGTATGGGGAACCCTAAAGCCTCAACCCTAAACCCGCAACCCTCAACCCTAAATCCTGAACCCTCGACCCAACCCTCAACCCTAAAGCCTAAACTCGGGTTTGCGTACCGCGAGAATCTGGCACAGTACAGGTGCTTAGGGCACACATAAGTGGGCTTCTTGAACTGTGCGGCCCTTGTCAGTGTCTTATAATGAGGGCTGAAATGATTGCGGAGTGTTTTGGAACCTTGTCGAGGGACGTCGTTGGCCAAAGAGCATGCGTGTGGCCTGCAAGGTGTCGAAGGAGCTTCTCCTCCGTGACATGTGGAACATGGAGCTTCACAAGTTTCCCACGGAGGCATTGTTGTGGCGGCATGAAGTCGTGCTTCCGTGTGCTTGCCATGGCAACTTGCGGCATCTTCTGATGGAAATGCAGCCCTGATGGTCCCCTGGTGGTCCAGACATGAGGGTAGTCTGCCACTCTGACTAGCATCGACGGTAGCAGCTGGGAGTAGGAAGTTTAGAGTTTACACAGACCTCAGCAACAGCAGAATGCAGTTTCGCTCCGTTTGATGCCCATGGCATCGCAGACTTGGCTGAAGGCAGGGCAGGCGGGATGTGACCTGTTTTGACTGGATATCAGCCGGGTGTACACTGAAATCGGTAAGTGCCCAAACCGGCGGTCTCTTTCGCGGCTCATTACCGTTTTCATTTTCGAATTGGACAGACACGTCCTATTTCACAAAGAAAGTCCAGTGGTTGGAGGGGATCAGCAAAGGAGCCTTGGGCAACGCCAGTCCAATCCTGGTTGACTGTACCATAGTATATTATACTATTTCATATAATAATATACTATAGCACACTGTAATATACGAGAATATTCTATGATATACTATAGTATGCTATAATATAGTATAATATACTATAATAGACTATAATAGACTATAGTATATTACAATACACTAGAACGGCTGCTTGGGTGCCCTCCCAGGGTCATGAAGTTCTGCGCGGTGCTTGGGCTGGTCCTTATACCTTGGTGCAGCAGTCAGGGGCTCAGAAGTAATCTCCACGCCTTATAGTCCCCCTTAAGTA